CCTGAGAAGTCTGGTAGAAATCAGCAGTGGGACTCAGGAAGTATCTTCTAAGACACTTGCTACTCAACACGCAGTCAAAGAGCTTCTTAGAGATTCTGAATCTCTGACCCCACTTGGGATGTACTAAATCAGAATCCGAATCTTAGTAAGGTTTCCAGGTAATGTGTTTGCTTGCTAAAATTTGAGAAGCACTATAGGAAAGGCAAGTTTGGGTTCTGTAATCCTTTCCAGGACAGGGCCTCAATATTTGGGGAAACAAGCTCTGGGTTTTTTTTTTTAAGATTATTTATTTATTTATTTATTTGAGAGAGAGAGAGAGCCAGAGCGAGAGCACAAGCAGGGGGAGTGGCAGAGGGAGAGGGAGAAGCCGGCTCCCAGATGAGCAGGAAGCCCAATGCGGGCTCAATGCGGGGCTCCATCCCAGGATCCCAAGATCACGACCTGAGCCAAAGGTAGGCACTTAACGGACTGAACCACCCAGGCGCCGCTCTGGCTTTGTTTTTATTTTATTTTTTAAAGATTTTATTTATTTATTTGACAGAGAGAGAGACAGCGAGAGCAGGAACACAAGCAGGGGAGTGGGAGAGGGAGAAGCAGGCTTCCTGCCGAGCAGGGAGCCCGATGTGGGACTCGATCCCAGGACCCTGGGATCATGACCTGAGCCGAAGGCAGACGCTTAACGACTGAGCCACCCAGGCGCCCCTGGCTTTGTTTTTATTAAGGTCTGAAGACTGTCAGAAATGATCAGGCCCTGGGGCTCCTGGGTGGCTCAGTTGGTTAAGCGGCTGCCTTTGGCTCAGGTCAAGATCCTGGAGTCCCGGGATCCTGGAGTCCCGGGATCGAGTCCCACATCGGGCTCCCTGCTCGGCGGGGAGTCTGCTTCTCCCTCTGACCCTCCCCTCTCTCATGCTCCCTGTCTCATTCTCTCTCTCAAATAAATAAATAAAATCTTTTAAAAAAAGAAATGATCAGGCCCTGATATAAATGACTCACATTATTAAAATGTACAAATTATTGAAGTAGATAGCTTATTGCCAGTTGAATAATATAAAGTAGTAAATAACTGATATGTCACTTGGGCTACTCACATTGGTGTGCTCAGCACAGTCATTCCTGTAATCCATTGTGATACATTGAAAAACAACAACCATGTGCTACTTAATACTTGACCATGAGAAGGGGCACCTGGGTGGCTCAGTCGTTAAGCATCTGCCTTCTGCTCAGGTCATGATCCCAGGGTCCTGGGATTGAGCCCCGCATCAGGCTCCCTGCTTCATGGGAAGCCTGCTTCTCCCTCTCCCACTCCCCTTGCTTGTGTTCCCTCTCTTGCTGTGTCTCTCTCTGTCAAATAAATAAATAAAATCTTTAAAAAAAAAATACTTGACCATGAGAAGTCATAGCAGAGGGGTCAAAACCTTGGAATGCCAAATGATCCTTTCCCTGCAGACAGACTTAAGGGAAATTAAATCATAATCTAAACATTGTTGAGTGATCTCAGAATTAAAATGAAAGAATATGGGGATTAAAAATTCAAAGGGTTTTAGGCATCAGGAAAGTAAAGGAGCCAAATGGGGTGGGTGAGAACTGTGGTCACCTGAGAAATACATATCTCACCCTTAGTTCCAGCTAGTTTTTGCCCTATGTGATAGATACAATTTTTCTGGATTACCAGTTTTTCAAATGAGGTTAAAAATCTATATTTTTAAATATGCAACCTTCTGAGTTTTGAATATTGACAATTTTAAAATGTAGTACACTCTGCAATACTTTTTAATTTTTTAATTTTTTTTGAAGATTTTATTTGTTTGACAGCGAGAGACACAGTAAGAGAGGGAACACAAGCAGAAGGCAGAGGGAAAGGGAGAAGCAGAATTCCCACTGAGCAGGGAGCCCGATGTGGGGCTTGATCCCAGGATCTTGGGATCATGACCTGAGCCGAAGGCAGATGCTTAACAACTGAGCCACCCAGGCGCCCCCTGCAATACTTTTAAAATCAGCAATTCTACTTCTAGGAATTAAACTACATACCTTTGAAATTGCATTCATTTGAATATGCATACCTTTGATATGAGGTAAGTGCTAAATTACCATCTGCAACTTTGTATGAAATAGCAAAATATTTAGAAACAATACACATTTCCATCAGCAGGTGTTGGTTAAACATATTATAGCATACCCAAACAATGGAATACTCTTCAACTATGTTTTTTTAAAAAGGAAGCTCTTTCTGCATTGATACAGAGTGATCTTTAAGAAACATTATTAAGGGGCACCTGGGTGGCTCAGTCAGTTAAGCATCTGCCTTCAGCTCAGGTCATGATCCCAGGGTCCTGGGATCGAGCCCTGCGACGAGCCCTGCAAGGAACCCCGCGTCGGGCTTCCCACTCAGCGGGGAGCCTGCTTCTCCTCTCCCTCTGCCTCTGCTCTGCCTACTTGGGCTCTCTCTCTCTCTCAAATAAATAAAATCTTAAAAAAAAAAAAAGAAACATTATTAAATGAGAAGAGCAGCCGTAGAACATGATATATAGCTGCTGTTACTTGTCTAAATAATACATTTTTAAACGTTTTTTCCTCGGGCACCTGGGTGGCTCAGTCCGTTAAGTGTTGTGATCTCAGGGTCCTGGGATCTGCTCCCAGCTCAGCGGGGAGTCAGCTTGTCTTCCTCTCTCTGCCCTTCCCCTTGCTCGTGCTCTCTCTTTTTCACTCTCTCTCAAATAAATAAATAAAATCTTTAAAAAAACATTTTTTTCTTACATATATATAAAAGATCACTGGAAGGGTACATAAGAGACTCCTACTGGGTGTCTGAGAAGAGGGCAAATGGAAAGTGGCAGACAAGAATCTGTAAGGAGTAAGGGTTTTCACAGTACACTGTCTTATAACTTTTGAATTTTGAAACATGAAAATGGATAGTTCATTCAAAATTATTACATTTAAAATTAAAAGAAAAGGAACATTCCTGGAAAGATATACATTCATACATGTAAAAACAAGCTACCTTAATAGCAGTTACCTCCGGATAGAAGGATTGGGAAACATGACAGCATCTAGGAACTTTCTGCATTTTTACCCTTCAGTAATGTTTTGTTTTGTTTTGTTTAAAGATTTTATTTACTCATTTGAGACAGAGAGGGAGAGCATGAGCAGGGTGAAGGGCAGAGGGAGAAGCAGACTCCCCGCTGAGCAGGGAGCCCGATGTGGGGCTCTATGCCAGGACTTGGTGATCATGATCTGAGCTAAGGCAGATGCTTAATCGACTGAGTCACCCAGGCGCCCCAGCGCTTCAGTAATGTTTGAGAAATTTTTTTACTGTGTGCGTTTATATTTTTATAATAATAATAATTTTAAAACATTGACTCAAAAAACACATACACACATGGACACACACTTTGTAGATTTCAAACACTGGAAAGTGTCTGGCCAATAAAATTTCCCAGACTGATTGGATCTGTAAGCTGTCAGTTTAAGGTGAGTGAAAGGAATGTTTAAGGACATCCGATTAACAGAAATAATATGAGCAATAAAACCAGAGAGACCCCCCCAAACAAAAACAAAAACAAAAACAAAAAACAAAATAGAGAGACCCAAGGTATGTGGATTACAACTCCCTGAATCTACACACCAAGGACTATCTAACCACCGAGACTGAAAATACTCTACTGACCAATGGCTAAGCTGCCCTCTCCCCTGAACAGCATGCACATTGGCTGCATGAGTTTGCCTTGGGTCGCTCTTCCTTTTTTTTCTTCCACAGATAATCCACTTCTTCTGACTGATGCATTTTTTTCTTAGATAGGTTACTGTAGAAAGTCAAACCTGTGGGTGCCTGGGTGGCTCAGTTGGTTAAGCGACTGCCTTTGGCTCAGGTCATGATCCTGGAGTCCCGGGATCGAGTCCCACATCGGGCTCCCTGCTCGGCGGGGAGTCTGCTTCTCCCTCTGACCCTCCTCCCTCTCATGTGCTCTCTCTCAAATAAATAAATAAAATCTTAAAAAAAAAAAAAAAGAGAAAGTCAAACCTGTGACTCTCTAGTGGCTGCATACTGATGCTCTCATTAATCATGTGTTTGCTTGCATTTTATTTTAGGGGGTAGGGGAAAGGTGAGTTCTCCCTATCTGAGTTCCTGGAGGGAATACATGGGAGTCTTCCAGTACAGACATCAATCTTAATCTGCTTTCCTCTGACCCTGACCTGCACCTTGTCCTGAATTTCTTTTTATCAAAACAGTGTACAAATCATCTCTCTCCCTCTCTCTTGCTCTCTTTCTTTCCTTAGTTTAACCAATATAGCACCAGAACAGAGTTCTGGTGAAGGCAAAATCTGGCACCCCATTGCAAAGCTTTGGTTCCCCTGCCTCCATTTTCAAATAACCCTGGGGACTTACTCAGGCTAAAGAGGGGGCAGTCCTGTTTCCAGGAGTCAGAAACAGAGACAATTATCAAGTCTCTGCTAACAATGCATGGATAGGTTTATGTCTCCATAACATTTGGTATTGCTGTTAAAGCCTGGTTCAGCATGGTCCATGAAAATGTGTGTCCTCTGATATGACTGCATGCTGGTCCAAGTCCCTGCACAAGCACAAGTGATGCCCCACACTTAGATTCCAAGGTTATGGCTCTTTTAGTTCACGTCCACATGTTAGGTCACTGTTGCCCAGGACATTTGGCCAGCATGGCTGAGCCTGAGAGCTTTTACAATCACTATCCCTATCACTTGCTGTGCCAGACTCAATCCTCTTCAGCCAAACCTGTGTTGGGCCTTGGTCAGTGGCCTAGCTGCCCTCTTTCCTTCCAGTGCATTCTCTTATGGACTTTCCTGCCAGTTGGCCATAGTCTACTCTACCAAATTTCCCTAACTTAAGACTTTGGAGAGAACAGATTATGATTTCCTTTCCTTTTCTCTTAAATGATCCCTGGGATGATGATGTTAACCACTACCATCATCACTGTGTATTATATATGAGTTTCCCATGATTGCCGTAATGAATTACCACAGACTCATTGGCTTAAAACAACAGAAATTTATTCCCTTACAGTTCTAGAGGCTAGCAATCTAAAATCAAGGTGTTGGCAGGGCTGAGCTCCCTCCAAAGGCTCTGAGGAGAATTTTTCCTTGCTTCCTCCAGCGTCTGGTGGTTCCAGCCAAGGGTCCTTTAGTTTGTGGTTGCATGACTCCAATCTCTGCCTCTGTCTTCACATGGCCTTTTCCTGTCTCTCTGTATCTTCTCTACTGTCTTTTATAAAAGACATTTGTCATTGGACTTAGGGCTCACCCAGATAATCCAGGATGACTTTATCTTGAGATCCTTCTTATATCTGTAAAGATCCGTTTACCAAATAAGGTCACATTCATACATTTCAAGGGTGAGGACATGGACATATCTTTTGAAGGCCCCTTTTCAATCTACTAGATGTTATTTTACAAAGGAATTGTGCAGTGAAAAAGATTGAGGGATTCACTAAAGGCAAATGACTCCCCCTCTATCACAGAGCTCTGCCCACTTGAGAATGGCAGCAGATTTTACAAAACCACATACACTGAAAAGGTCCTGTTAGGGGCGCCTGGGTGGATCAGTTGGTTGGGCCTCGGACTCTTGGTTTTGGCTGGGATCATGATCTCAGGGTTATGGAATTGAGCCCCTTGTGGAGCCTGAGCCCAGAGTGGGTCTCTGTGCTCAGCACAAAGTCTGCTTGGGATTCTTTCTCTCTCCCCTTCTGCTTCCCCTCACCCAGCTCTCTCTCAAATAAAGGAGTAAATTAAAAAAAAATTTTTTTTTAAAAAAGGTCCTGTTAGACTCTTATCATAGGACAATTGGTTCCTGCTGGCCTTATATTTGCACAACTAAAGGGATCTCCTAAGACTGCCTCTAAGAGTTCTAGCTTTAGGTGGGCCTCACCAAGCATCATTATATTACATTACATCATACAGTTATGTCCAACTATCTTACCTTAAGGACATTTGATACTGGAGAATTGAAACCCATGGCCTTATTTTAATCAATGAGTTCTACCTGTCTTGGTCCCATTTTGTAACCATTTCCCTGAGTAGGAACAATATAAACTGGCTCGTGTTTTATCCTTTTTATTATTCTCAACTCACCCTCATGTGCCTATTGTGGAATGCAAGAATGAGAAGGCTGACACATAGAGAGGCTAAATAATATAAAGTGTGGGTCATAAGTATCTGTATAGCAGATTTCAAACCTCCTCTGAGGGGGAGTCTATCAGGCTTTCTCATAGTTCAGCTCAGAGATGGTTCTGTGGTTGGGGAGCTGGCCTCATAGGGATTCTTCACCAACTTGGCACAGCGAAAAATCATCACAATTAGGAACAGAAATAGAAGAACAACAAAGGCAATGGCAAAGCCTTTGTCTACGTCAACACCGCTGGACAGGCTTGAATCATCCATGGGAACACACGCCTCTTTACCCTTGTTCAGCTGTAGCTACCTCCTCAGGTATGTCTTCAGGTTTGTCATGTTCCTAGACAAAAGAGGATAAGACAAGTTTATTGGTTTTTATGTGTATGTGTGTGTTTTCTTTTATTTATTTATTTATTTATTCGACAGAGAGAGAGAGACAGCGAGAGAGGGAACACAAGCAAGGGGAGTGGGAGAGGGAGAAGCAGGCTTCCCACCGAGCAGGGAGCCCGATGCGGGGCTCGATCCCAGGACCCTGGGATCATGACCTGAGCCGAAGGCAGACGCTTAACGACTGAGCCACCCAGGTGCCCCTGTATGTGTGTGTTTTCTTAATAACATTATGTCAAAACCAAAGAAGGTTTAGAAAAACAAAAACAGAACAGCAAGATTTATTCAAGAAGCACTATGAAACTGGTAAAGTTAGTATGGGTGACTTTCAAAATATATACACACATAAAGCATAAAATTGCTGGAAAATTACTCCAAAGCAAAACATGAGCAAACATGTTTAACTCAGAAATCAACTGGGGCTTCCTGGCCCTGTAAGATCCAGGTACAACTGCCTTAAACATCCCAATTCTGTGTTAAGTCCAAATCCCTCTCTATGATTTTTTCAAATTCTGAGTACTTATTGTAAATAATTTGTTCTGGAGTCTTAACATAAAGACTATGTAAACAAAATTATTTTTATTTTTTCTAATCACTACGTTTAACTGTGCTATCATTCCCATCTCTTAATGAAAAATCAAGTATAGCTCAGAAAGGATCGATTTTGGTTATTAAAACTTAGTTCACCAAAACAACACTGAAAAGGACAAAATCAGAGTACTCCCACTTCCCAACTTCAAAACTCACTACAAATTTACAGTTATTAAGACAGTGTGGCACTAGCATAAGGATAGGCATATGGATCAGTGAATAGAATTAGGAGTCTAGAAATAAACTCATATACCTACTGTCAATTGATTTTTTTAAAAGATTTTATTTATTTATTTGCCAGAGAGAGAGCGTGGGAGAATGAGCAAGAGTACAAGCAGGGGGAGAAGCAGGCTCCTCCCTGAGCAGGGAGCCCGATGCGGGACTCAATCCCAGAACCCTGGGATCATGACCTGAGCCGAAGGCAGATGCTTAACAGATTGAGCCACCCAGATGCCCCGGCAACCTTGTTTTTTGCCTGCCACTCACTCTCTCCCTTGTACTTTTACCCAGTAATGCTGGACTTCTCACAATTCTATGAGTTTTGCATGATCCTCCTTTGTGTCTGAGCCTTTTCATTAACATTCTCTATTTATTATTTCCCATCTTCTATATTCAACTTTTAGGCTTTAGCTTAAAAGTTAATTTCCCAGGGAGATATTCCAGTAACATTCACTATACTTTACTATAATTACTTCAGTCTGTCTTCTCTGGTAATATAGTAATCTGACATGAGAGTAGAGACCGTATCTAATTTGTTCGTTTTTTTATCCTAAAAGTTTGGGTTGTATTGGCTGTTCAATAAATATATGTTCAATGAATGGATGTAGCACTACACTTTGCTAAAGTGGGCATGTAAAAAATGTTTGCTGAATGAATGAAGGACTTTGAGAATGTGGCATTTGAATTAAGACAGAAGCGTATTGGTGATCTAAAAGAAAGTAGTGTCAGCAAAGTGGCAAAGAAGGACTCCAGACTTTAGTGGATTAAGCAGGAAAGGGCAGTAAGCAAATGAAGACACTAAGGTTTTAAATAATTTATAAGGAGTTCAAGTAGGAAAGAAAGAAGAGAAATCGAATAGCAGTTAAAAGCCTACTACAGAATCTAGCAAAGGATTCCTTTTTTAAAAAACATTTTAAAAAAGATTTTATTTATTGGACGCCTGGGTGGCTCAGTTGTTAGGCGTCTGCCTTCGGCTCAGGCCATGGTCCCAGGGTCCTGGGATTGAGCCCCGCATCGGGCTCCCTGCTCCGCGGGAAGCCTGCTTCTCCCTCTCCCACTCCCCCTGCTTGTGTTGCCTCTCTCACTGTGTCTCTCTCTGTCAAATAAATAAAATCTCAAAAAAAAAAGATTTTATTTATTTATTTGTCAGAGAGACAGAAAGAGCACAAGCAGGGGGAGCTGCAGGCAGAGGGAGAAGCAGGCTCCCCACTGAGCAAGGAGCCCAATGTGGGACTCGATCCCAGGACCCTGGAATCCTGACATGAGCTGAAGGCAGCTGCTTAACCAACTGAGCCACCCAGGCATCCCAAGGATTCCTTCTCAAAGGCAGAATGAAAAGGTATCAGGTAGGATGCATTTGGTTGCAAGTAACAGAAAAGTCCACTTAAGTGATAGTAAACAATATGTGGAATTTATTAACTTAGGAGGCTGACGTCCAGAATAAGGCTAACTTTAGGTATCATTGGATCCAGAGATTGAAGGTGTTATCAGGGTTCTGACTTTCTATGTCTATGATTTTTCGCAGTCCCACCTGTCTTCTATGCTGATTTTCTACACAGGCCGACTTCCCTATGGTAGCAAGAATGGCTCCAACAAATCCAGACCCCTCATATCCCCTCTTCACAGTCTCTCCTCCCCAATTCCAGAGGAAGAAAGAATACGTTTCTATTCGTCAAGATTCTTGTTTGCAAGCAACAGAAACAATCTCCCTTTTCTTGATGAAAAATTCACCCTAAGTGAAAAGGCAGTCTGGGTTCCTGGGTCTGGCAGGGTCTGAGCTGAGGAAGGATTCTGCTAATACTGTGTCTGTGAGGCAATGTTGTTTGACCCACCTCCCCGGGGCTCACTGAAACCTGAGTCCCAAGGGAGACAATAAATACTCCTTTATAGTTGCTGTTGTCATTTTATTTTACATACATACTTGTGTGATTTGGGAAATGGAGATTACAAAGAGCTCTTCCTTTAATATTATTTGAACTCTATCAACTTTAAATTTAATTTGGACGCACCATTTACCATTTAATAAGTACAATACAAAAACTAGGTCCTATAGGCATAACACGATACATAAGGTCTGGTTTCTGACTTTAGGAAGCTTATAGTCTGGTATGGGAGATAAGACATAGCCACATAACTATGACATAGGTATAAAGTGGTTAGGTTTCAAAACAGAAAGTAGTGGATCTCTCTGAAATCGTCTGCCCCACACTTCCTCTCCTGTCCATCCATATGGCTACTGTGGAAGCTGCCATATTCTGACATGCCCCACCATGCTGGCTGCCACAGTTCAATGGTCTGGGGTAGGTAGAAGTTAGGCTAAAGCTCTTCTCTTGAATTTTTGTAACTGGAATAGGACATACTAGGTGTTTAATACGTACTTGATGATAACTGCGTTGTAATGAGAAAACCAATTTCATTGCAATTTTAATACCCGCTTCTGGCTTTATCCATTTCTGTACATCTCAGATGCCACTTTCTGGATATATTTCTTTTTTTTTTTTTTAAAGATTTTATTTATTTATTTGTTAGAGAGAGAGGGGGCACAAGCAGGGGGAGTGGCAGGCAGAGGGAGAAGGAGGCTCCCCGCTGAGCAGGGAGCCCAATGCAGGACTTGATCCCAGGACCCTGGGATCATGACCTGAGCCGAAGGCAGAGGCTTAAGGCCTGAGCCACCCAGGCGCCCCTGGATATATCTCTTTAATATCTCATTATTGATGCCAGCACATATCTTCCCTTTATTCATTACTACACTTTCTCAAAAAGATCTTATTATTTAACCCTGGCATCTACATATCTCACTAGTCCCCTTACAGCCTGCATATTTCATTGATTTTTCAACTTCTTTTAATTATTGCATTTCAAGAGACTTGCATCTTTATTTGATTTTCTTTCATTTATTCTCTTATCACAGGTTTCTAGGTATGATTTTTATACCATGTAAACTGTCTTGATTTTATATTAAGTTGCAGAGAAAAATAAACAAAAATATGTACTTCCTGAATGAAAACAAATAATCCCATAGCAATCTGCTGGTAAAAGTGGAGAAGGAACCCAAAGGGAAGACTCAAGGAAGGTTTTACTGAAGAGGCAAATACATGAACTGAACTGCGGCCTGAGAATGAGTGGAGTTTACCAGGCAGATAAAAGCGAGAAAGAGGAGAAACTGGAGAAGATATTTCAAGTACAAACACAAGGGCTTCAGGGAGGACAATATAGTATGTTTGAGAAACAGTAAGTGTTCAGTAAGTATTGAGAATGTATTCTATCAGAGAACAGGCAGGAGCCATGGCCTAGGCCAGTTCATCAGGGTCCTTATATGGTCCATTAAAGACTCTGGACTCAACTTTACAATCAGTGGGGAGCCATTGGAAAGCTTTTAAACATGGAAATTATACCATTAGATATTTGGTTTAGAAATATCAGACTGGCAGGAATGTGGAGGATGCACGAGACAATAACTAACCTGATATTCTTCCGTAAATATGAGCTTTGAAGGGATTCAGGACAGCTCTCCCCCCCCCCCCCCCCCTGCAATGTGTCACTCTGGCAAGTGGATCATTCAGAGCTGAAGGCACTTGAGATCCTGTGGGCTCAAGAGAAACTTTTGTCTCTCTCTTAACCACACAGAAAAATCTAAATTGGGGGTCTTTCCCCAAATAAGGGTCATCTGCTCTTCTTACTACCCTCTGAAGTGCATTCCTTTCCTCTGAAATCCCAGACCCCTACCCCCTTCTCTTTAGTTCAGAATGAGATAAATATCTCATCTTGCCTGCCTTTGGAATTTCCATGTCTATGGGGAGTCCCCTACATACATCTATTAAATTTGATTTTGTCCTGTTAATCTGTCTCATGTCAATTTGATTCTTAATCCAGCTAGAAGGACCTTCAAGGGGACAGGATTTCTTGCTCCCCAACAGCTTCTAGAGGGCAAAAATATAAATGTTTTGATTTTTTAAACTTCTCACAGCATAGATTAACATAGTGCTTGCACTGAGTAAGAAATGTTTGTTGATGTGGAAACCAGTGTCAGAAGGAACACTCTGCTTCTCGTGGGTGTAGAGAATGGACAGTATGACCCTTGTCTGATGAACAAACTCAGATGGGGTAGTATTAGTCATAGAAATCTTTCTAAAAGTGATGGCTGAGCTCAGTCTGGAATAAAGAAAGAACACTTAAATGAAGGAAGAGTGATGGAGTCAAAGAAGCATGAGAACTTTTGGGGAAATGCTGCTTAATTCAGTATGGTAGAGCTCACAATGCATGAAAGTGAAAGGTATAAAATCATAGAATCTCATAGTTGGAAGGAACCCTTGAAAGTCATGTTGTGGCATTAGCCTTCTAATCATTCCTGCAAAGTCCCTGCTTTAACTACTTGGGTGAGTTCCTTGGGGGCTTCAGGGGTCAGAAGTGACTATCTTCCAAGGTGTCTCATTCTTTAAAAGTACTTAGTTTTTCTTTTTTTTTTAATTGAAATATAGTTGACACACAATGTTATTAGTTTTAGGTATACAATGTAGTGATTCAACAATTCTATATGTATGCTATGCTCACCACAATTGTAGCTGCCATCTGTCACCATACAACACTATTATAATACCATTGACTATATTCCCTGTGCTGTTCCTTTCATCCCCATGACTTATTCATTCCATAACTGGAAGCTTGGACCTCCCACTCCCCTTCACCCATTTTGCCCATCCCCTCACCTCCCTTCCCTCTGGCAACCACCAGTTTATTTTTGTATTTATGGGTCTGTTTCTGCTTTTTGTTTGTTTTGTTTTTTAGATCCCATATGTAAGTGAAATCATATGGTATTTGTCTTTCTCTGACTTATCCACTCTGCATAATATCCTCTAGGTCTATCCATATTGTTGCAAATGGCAAGATTTCATTATTCTTTATGGCTGAGTAATATTTGATTATACGTGTGTGTGTGTGTGTGTGTGTGTATACACACACATCTTCTTTATCCATCCAACACTTGGGTTGCTTCCATTCTTGGCTATTGTAAATAATGCTACAATATTAAAAGTAGTTCTTCACATTAAGCGAAATTTGTCTCCTTAGCACTCACTGCTCCACTTTTAACTTAGGACCAAATAGGGTAACACATATCTTTTCCTACACAAGATTTTCAGAATGTGAAGATTGCTATCAAGTACTTGTTGACTCATTTCTTCAATCATTTCATAATTTAATCATTTCTCAGAGGATATGATCTTTCTATCATTCTAGTCTTTTTCCATTGAAAAGAATCTAGTGTGTCTACATCCCCTTTAAAACGTGGTGCCCAATATAGAATAGAAGACCCACGTAAACCCAAGATTATTCATCTAGTACTATACTTCTATTGCTTGAGATAAGATCATAATGAGCCTTGTGCTAAAATTGGAATGATACAGAGAAGATTAGCATGGCCCTTGCACAAAGATGACACACAAATTCATGAATCATTCCATATTTTTAACTAACTGGAATTTAAATTAAAACTTGGAAGAAAAAAATCATAATGAGCTTTGAAATTCAGCATAAAGAACTTGAATTTTAGGGACATCTGGGTGGCTCAGTCGGTTAAGCGTCTGCCTTCAGCTCAGGTCATGATTCTGGAGTCCCAGGATCAAGTGCTGATCAGGCTCCCTGCTCAGCTGGGAGTCTGCTTCTCCCTCTGCCCCTCACCCCACTCATGCTCTCTCTCTTTCTCTCTCATTCGCTCTCTCTCTCTCAAATAAATAAATAAAATCTTAAAAAAAAAAAGAATTTGGGGTGCTTGGGTGACTCAGTCAGTTAGGCATCTGCCTTCTGCTCCGGTCATGGTCCCAGGGTCCCGGGATCGAGCCCCATGTCGGGCTCCCTGCTCTGCGGGGGACCTGCTTCTCCCTCTCCCTCTGCCTGCCACTCCCCCTGCTTGTGCTCTCTGTCTGTCAAATAAATAAATAAAATTTTTTTAAAAAAAGGAATTGAGTTTTATTCAAATGGGGGGACATTGAAGGATTTTGAGCAGATAAATAAGAGCAGCGGCCCTATCTTACTGTGCATCCCACTGACTCTAACTGGAATGTAAGCTCTAAGCGTTAGGTCTGTGTCCCATTAGTGACATAGCTTCAGTGCCTAGGCAGGGCTGGCACATTGTAGGTGTTTAGTATACCTACATAAATGAATTAATATCTATATCCGTGCCCGGCATATTAAGCATACACAATTCATGCTTGCTGAAGGAAGGTAAGTAATCAAAGCCATACTTTACGAAGGTAACTGGCAACAGTATGTAAGAGATATTGGAGACAGGAAATAGACACCATAGGGTGAAAAACAATTAGAAGGAGTTGCAGCAGTCTTGGTAAGAGGCAACAAAAGTATAAACTAGGATGACATAGTAACAAAAAGGAAGGGATGGATGTGAAAGAGGATTTGACATGATTTATAAATTAAATGAACATATAGTGGGAGGAAGAAGGAAATGATAAAGAAAATCCTGGGGTTTGACTTTGGATGGCTGAAAGAAAAATGTTGCCATTCATAGAACTATTTATTTTAGGAATTGGCAGATATTTTAAGGGACTATGATGAATCCAGTTTGAGTAGGTTGAATTTGAAGGTACTGGTATGATATGTTCAGGAGGCAGAAACGTGGGACTGAAGTTTAGGGTAAAGAAAAGCAAGATCTTTAGAGCTGAGTCACCTAAGTTCAGGGTAGTTGAAATCATGGAAATATATGAGATGGCCAAAGGAGAATTTGAAACAAGGGAATGCCTGCTTTTATGTCGGAGGAAAGAGTTCAATAAACCACAGATGGAATAGGTATAAGTAGGAAAACCTGAAGAGTGTAGAGTCATGAAAATGAACAGATGAGAGAATTTCAAGGAGGGGTATTGCCAACAGCCTCAAATGCTGCAGAGATACGAAAACCTTCAGTATCTGGAAATTGGAAAACATCAAGTCATCTGTGATTCTCCTTCTCCTTATCTAATTAAATCTGAATTCCTGAACTTTGAATGAAAGGTCTCTCGTTTACTGATTTAAACTTCTCACTCATAGCTGCCAAATTCCGATAAGCTAATTTTGCTACTGCTAGGCTGGTATCTTTCCTCTTTCCACCTCAAAAAGTAAAATACATCCTTACTGAAAAAGGGAAAGAAAAGAAGAAGACTGATGTTTTGGTTCCAAGTATGTCATGTTATTTATGTTCTTGGCTCTTATTTTCATATGCAGGGATCAGATCTAGGTTTTATAGATCCTGAAAGTTTACACAAGTTGGAGGCCTCTCTTTCAGAAAAAGAATGCAAGATTTTGAATACAAAATTAGGTAAAAAGTTTTTTAGAATGGAAAAAAAAAATCACAAATTATTGGAGCCTTGGATATTCAGTTTCCTTTCTTCTAAGACCTCTTAGGCAAAATCACTTTTCTTGACAGATTCAAGTGACAGATACCATGGTAATTCTAAAATCTGTTTTCCAAAGCAAAGACGTCCCCTAGAATTTTTTTAGTGGTTCTTAAGATTCCTGTTTTGGGGACGCCTGGGTGGCTCAGTTGGTTAGGCGTTTGCCTTCAGCTCAGGTCATGATCCCAGGGATCTGGGATGGAGCCCTGCGTTGGGCTCCTTGCTCAGCAGGGAGCCTGCTTCTCCCTCTGCCTGCCGCCCTCCCCTCCCCTCTCCTTATGCTTTCTCTCTTTCTGACAAATACATAAATAAAATCTTTTAAAAAAGGTTCTTGTTTTGTTTGAGATGAACAGGAGTACTGCTTAGGACTAGAATAGGGAAAAAGAGGTGGGGCATGAATCTATTGGTTTATGTAAAATCTGATACTGCTAAAGTAGGAAACAGAATAACAGCATTTATAAATCTGCAGCAGAAGTTAGTTCGCTTTCACTTAACACTTCCCAGAAAGATCAATCCCCTCTTCCTTTCCCGTGTTCCCTTCCCAAATCACTTCATTTTTCCCATCTGTGGCCCTATATTTCTTAAAGACAAATAGACAAAAAAAAAAAAACAGGACAACAACAAAAACCACTTAAAAAGGCCCAGCTCTTCTCTCCTGGCCATAAGTTTACTCTAAAGGGAGAGGTGATGGTGAGGAAATAGAAAAATGAAACTCTCTTCCTATAATCCCTAAAATCAAAGACATCCTCTAGGCAATGGGACCAACAGAGGTTTCCCTGGTTTGCCTCAAAACAACACTGTTCCCCTTACTTAAAGTTTCACTTTTCCAGAAAAGCTCTAAGGAAAGAAAAATTCTTTACTTCCCTCAGTCATTTCCCTAAGTACTTCCCAAGCTTGTAGAGAAGTGCTATGGAATTATTCCCATAAAAACTTTACCAGAGGGGCGCCTGGGTGGCTCAGATGGTTAAGCGTCTGCCTTCAGCTCAGGTCATGATCCCAGGGTCCTGGGATCAAGTCCCACATCAGGCTCCCTGCTCCTTGGGAGCCTGCTTCTCCCTCTGCCTCTCTCTCTCTCTCTGTCTCTCATGAATAAATAAATAAAATCTTAAAAAAAAAAAAACTTTACCAGAAAGACAATACGGACAGTTATTTACCTTTTGAGAGAGTGATACCCAAGGCTGGCTGTTGGCAGGGCAGTCTCCTCCTGCTCAAGCACATCTCTTGGCAACCTCTCCCCTTTTTATCAACCCACGCTTACAAAAAGGAAAGTGGTGGTAGCTCTGTCCCTTCCCCACTCCTAGGCTGAACTCAGAAGCTTCATGAATAGTTCAACTAAAACAGGATCAAGTTTCAGACACTCCCATAGTGAGTGAGAAAATGATCCCGCTAGATTAAATTGGAGCCCAGGTCAGGAGAAGAATATTTCCACAGCTCTGCCAATGCTGGGGCAGCCAAGGTTAATAGCTCAAGTAATACCATGTAAGTGGATCACATGAGTGGTAGAAGATGGGTCAGGAGCCAGCTTTTTGGTCTATGCAATGGTTCTCTGGATTAGTGGCATCATACGGAAAATTGTTAGAAATGCTAATTCTTGGACCTCTATCCCTGCCTTAATGAATCTGAAGCTTTGGAGGTGTCCTTATCTGTGCTTTAACCAGCCCCTCTAGGGGACTGTGATGTATGCTCAAATTTGAGAACTGTTTGTCAACAAGATCAGTGAGGTTCTAAAATCTCTTTTCCTCGGGCGCCTGGGTGGCTCAGTTGGTTAAGCAACTGCCTTCGGCTCAGGTCAGGATCCTGGAGTCCCTGGATCGAGTCCCTGGATCGAGTCCCGCATCGGGCTCCCTGCTCGGCAGGGAGTCTGCTTCTCCCTCTGACCCTCCCCCCTCTCATGTGCTCTCTCCCATTCTCTCTCTCTCAGATAAATAAATAAAATCTTTTAAAAAAATAAATAAAATCTCTTTTCCTCAAAAAGAATTTACTTAGAACATTTGAATCAGAAAAGTCAAAACTCTTTCACTTAGTATTAGGTATTATACGTGCTCACATATACCTTGAATGCAAAACTTACTATCATTTCCTCTAAGGTTTTTGTTTTCGTTTTTTTTAAAAGATTTTATTTATTTATTTGAGAGACAGAGAGATTGGGAGAGCACAGAGGGAGAGTGAGAAGAAGAAGCAGACTCCCCACTGAGCAGGGAGCCCAAGAAGGGCTCCATCCCAGGACCCCGAGATCATGACCCCAGCTGAAGGCAGATGCTTAACCTACTGAGCCACCCAGGTGCCCCTCCTCTAAGGTTTTATGTGATTAAAAAAAAAAAAATTCTGTAGGACATATGTGTGTCCGTGTGTGCACACACCCTTTTCTGTCTGTATGTACATGTGCTTTATAAATATACAGAATATATATTTTTAAAGATTTTATTTATTTGACAGAGAGAGATAGCGAGAGCAGGAACACAAGCAGGGGGAGTGGGAGAGGGAGAAGCAGGCTTCCCGCAGAGCAGGGAGCCTGATGTGGGGCTGGATCCCAGGACCCTGAGATCATGACCTGAGCCAAAGGCAGACGCTTAACGACTGAGCCACCCAGGCACCCCCCCCATTCTAATACCTTTAGATCCACTTCATTCATTGTAATGGCTGCTGAGTATGCAAGTACTCCATTACATACATATCCCTGATTTATTTTCACTATTAGTGGGCATTTGGGTTGTTTCAAATTTCTTAATAGTATACAAACATTGCAATGGATATCCTTGCACATATTTCTCTGAGCATTTGTGGAAATGTTTTTGTGAGATAAATTCCTCAAAATATTAAAAATATAAATGCTGAGTTGTAGGATATAAACATTTAGAATTTTAATAGGTACTGCCAAATTACACACTAAAAAGGTTATTGCAATGTGCAAAATAGATATGAAATTGCCTTTTTTTTCATAGTGCCACCAATATAGGTTACTTTCAGTCTTTGAAATATTTGTCCAGCTAAAATAACATCTCAGTTTTTAAAAACTTGCATTTCCCTAAATGGTATGGTATTTGAATTTTTATTATTTGTACATGTTTTTCAGATTTCCTCTACCTATCCTTTCCCTTCTTTTCATGGGGCTATTCATCTCTTATTTATTTATTTATTTATTTATTATTTTAAAACAAGATTTTATTTATTTATTTGAGAGAGAGAGAGAGAGAGCACAAGCAGGGGGAGGGGCAGAGGGAGAGGAAGAAGCAGACTCCCCACTGAGCAGGGAGCCCAATATGGGGCTCAATCCCAGGACCCTGGGATCATGACCTGAGCTGAAGGCAGACACTTAACCAACTGAGCCACCCAGACGTCCTAACAATATATTTCTACTTATAATTTTTTGTGATACATGTTCTCATTTCCTATCCTTTACCACTCCCGCTCCCTCACTTTTGAAGCTGCTCTGTCAACAACAGCTTCCAGAATTCAACCTTTCTTCTCAGCCCAATAACCTCCTTCTAGCTTCTCGTTTCCCTCTCATCTTCTGCAGCTTTAGAATCTTCCATCCCAAGAGACAGATCTAATTTGTCAATCAGTGTACTCCAGTTCTGGATAAATTTCTCTGTTTATTTCCTTTCCTCCAGCTTCTGAGTGTCGGCAGAGGAAGTAATAACAATGCTCCATAGTGTCATGAACTTTATACCTTCTCACTTTGGGGTCTCAGTGCATTAAACTGTCTGTTTATACAATTTTAGTCATACACTTTCCCAAATTACCCACAGCTCTATAGCTAGAACCAACACGATCTCTACCTCTTGTTCTCAGCAGTTTGACCTTATTATTACTCTTTGAGAATCAAAGCCACTGCACATGAGTTGCCAACTTCTCTTTCTTCCACTTCAAAATGTCTGCACATTTTCTGTAAAAAGGTGTCTTGGTCTTTCTGAGACTAATACTTCCACACACAGCCCTAACCTGTCTCTTTGTCTCCCCCAGCACCAATCTTACTTGTTTTCTTGGGCACATATATTGTCTTCATCTTTAATTTGCCCCTTTTTACAAGTTCAGTCTGTAGACATATTTTTCTATTACCACCCCATTCTATCCCCCATCCCAGGTACCATTTGATTACTTTTTCTTCATTGCCACATTTCTTGAAAAGAGGTTGTGTGCTAACTATCTGTCTATATTTACTCACTTTCTATACACTTCTCACTCACCTGAACCATGGTTTCCACTCCATCTAGTCTCCTACTCTCTACTCTCCTTAGATTTGCTCCTAATGTCTGAAGATGTAGTGCTGCTGCCCGAACTCTTTTATCTTGAAATTCCTTTGGCTTCCATTGCCCTGCTCTTTCCAGATTGCCCTTTCCTTCTTCCATCATCTGAAACAGGTACTTCTCTCTCTCTTTCTTTCTTTTTCCTTTCCGTCCTTTAATTTCCAAAGCACATCCATTCACATTTGACTGACTGATAGTACATAAATATTCTTTTACAATAGGCCAGGACATCTATGTTATCCCAATTATAGAAAAACAGATGCAAAATAGTGTTAAGAAACTTCCTTGCCTGAAATTATAAAACTACATGTGTGCATATGTTTTTAAAATCTCTTTGTTCCCTTTTCATCCTTTTGGTTGAACTTTATTAATATCTGCCCTTCTTGTACTCCCCTCTCTTGTGAAAGGCATCAAATATCTAGTCACTCAGCCAAATCTCCTTCTCCTTCACCATCCCCCCACCTCTAGTCACCAAGGGCTAACAAGACACCTTCCTAAATTTTTCTGGAATGGTTCTCTTCTCCATGAGAGTTCTCTTTTGCAAGTCCATTTCTTCGTAAGTCTGACATGTGAGATTTTAATTGCTCTGCTGCAGTTTTCTCTTCTTTAGTCCATGGTGATGCCCCGGGTCTGTTTGCTTTTGTAGTTTTTGTATCATGGTCATTAAGAACAGTAGCATAAACTCAGCTCTTAGTCTCTTTCTGCTTGACAGCGATTGGTTTAAAGCGTGCATGCAAAGCTTGATATTGAGACTTAATTGCTAACAATTCCTTTAAGAGTGTAACTAGATTTTTCTTGCCTGCTGAATCAGGATGATTAGTCTTGATTTCATTTTCTAGTCTGTACTGAATGTAATCCAGATCAGAGTCAGCTTTCTGGAACATGAGTTCCATCTTATTGACCTCTGCCTCCATCTTGAATAGTTGACATTCCTCAGAAGCCTGAAACAGGCATTTCATGAAGCATTCTTTGTGTCCATTTGCTTATCTCTTTTAACTATGGTGCTATCATTTTCTGCAACCACAGTCTCTTGCGGTTGATACATAAGTTTAGGTCTAGATCCCAACCTCTCTTTTGGGCACATGCCCTCTGATTTCATATGCTTAGTAAGCATTTTTACCTGGCTCTCCCACCAACCAATCCAACAAATAAATTTCAACCAAACCTGAACTTCCAGTTAGGAAAAGATATTAGGGTTCAAAGATGATGGCCAAGAAAGAATTCTTGAGACATCTTTGGTGCAAAAGGTGGTTTTATTAAAGCGCGGGGACAGGATCTGTGGGCAGAAAAAGCTGCCCTGGGGTCATGAGGAGTGGCACATTATAACCTTTCACATTGCAAGGGGGTTAGGGATAGCGTGAGTCTCTAAGGAATTTTGGAAGCAAGGTTTCCAGGACCTTTAGGGGGCTAGCTATTGTTGGGAAAAGTCATTTATTACTGTCTAGTAAAACCCAAGTCATGAGACCCTTCAGATGTATATCGGTGGGTCATATACTTGGGGGATGATTGCCAACATGTCTTGGGGGGTAGAAATAAAGGAAGTTTCCACAGGAATTTTTATATGTTAAAGTAGACTTACAGGGTCTTGGGGGTTGGGCTAAGATTGCCTTTTGCCCTCAGCAAAGTATTAACATGGAGGCAGCTGAGTTCCTAGAGGAGTATGTCACTCTGCCTGTTTCAAGGACTTGTCAATGGGCTGTAGGCAGTAAGGAAATTTTTCTTCTGCCTTTGTTTCCCACATCACCAGTCCCTGATATTGATATCATCCAAAAGCCTTCTTTGACATCACAACTTCCTTTCACTCCACATGCATAGAATTCCATGGCAAACCTTGTTATTTTGTCACAACAGTATTATGGCAATCATTATCTTTTCAGTTTCATTGACCTATGTCTGATCCTTGTAGTTGCTCCCCTGGGTCTTTACAGTAGGTATTTATCTAAGCAGATTTTCTGCTTCTAGTCTCTGCCCCCTGCCCCCCCCAAATAACCTGGATCACTGTTCCTTAAAATTTTAACCTCCAGGAATGGGGTTTACAGATAAAAGATGACTTTTTATTTTTTTATTTTTAAAGATTTTATTTATTTGATGACTGAGCCACCCAGGCCTCCTGCCAACTTGTATTTTTATTTGCTAAATCTGGCAACTCTATCTGGAGACACTAAAACTGGTGCATCTGCAGACCACCATTTTAAATAATTAAAAAAACTGCCGTACCATCATGATTACAGTAAGGAAACAACTTATAATAGTTTAAAAATTAATAGTAGTAATAGTAACTTTAATATTGGTAAGCTGAAAACATGTGCAATAGGTCATTTCTTCTGGTTTTTAAGATTTTATTTATTTGAGAGGGAGAGCGAGAGAGCGAGAGAGAGAGCATGAGCAGGGGGAGGGGGAGGGGCAAACGGAGAGGGAGAAGTAGACTCCCTGCTCAGCAGGGAGCCCAAAGTGATGGTGGCTCAATCCAGGATCCTGGGATCATGACCTGAGCTGAAGGCAGACGCTCAACTGACTGAGCCACCCAAGCCCCTCAAGATAGGTCATTTCTTTTCTTTTTTTTTTTTTTAGGTCATTTCTTAATCAACTTCTTAATTTTCATTTCTACTAAAATTAGAAAATCTGAATTCACAGTGGGTTTGTCAGATACTGCAATGAGTGATGGCTACCACTCATTCAGATCATTCTGAATAGTTGGATCTAACATGGACCTAATATTATAGAGTTTTTTTTTTTAAAGATTTATTTATTTATTTGAGAGAGAGAGAGAGTGCATGAGAGGGAGAAGGGTCAGAGGGAGAAGCAGACTCCCCGCTGAGCAGGGAACCCGATGTGGGATTTGATTCCGGAACTCCAGGGATTCCAGGGACCCCAGGATTATGACCTGAGCTGAAGGCAGTCCCTCAACCAACTGAGCCACCCAGGTGCCCCTATAGAGAGTTTTTAATTGAAGGCGGCTTTCAGTAGTTTGTTAGATCTTATGTAAAAGGGCATACAGCAACCTCAAAAGTTGCATGTTTCAATGTGGGAGGGAGCAGGCGTTGTATTCAGTTGCAAGGATTACATTCAGCTCTGAAAGCATTTTTCCCCCATTCAGCTGTAACATTTTGATGTGGTTTAAAATATGTTCAATAATGTCATTCATTTTTTTTCTCTGATGAAGAAATAAAATTATCATGTGTTGGGAAATAATAAATTCTTGGCAGTCAAGGCATTTGCACAATAGTCTGGTTTTCTTACAAAATTCTGATACTTTGTTCTTAAGATTAAAAATCATGGCATTTATCAGAATTGGCAGCACAAAAGGAAAGTTCTCTCCTGACCTGTATCATGACAGTCTGAACACTCCCAGAAAATTGTGCCAAAGAATTTAGAAAACAAATAAACTATAAAAGTAAACACACACACACAGCAAACTTCAGGTAACTATTTTTTTTTAAAGATTTTTATTTATTTATTCATGAGAGACAGAGAGAGAGAGAGGCAGAGGGAGAAGCAGGCTCCCAAGGAGCAGAGAGCCCGACGCAGGGCTCGATCCCAGGACCCCGGGATCATGACCTGAGCCGAAGGCAGACGCCCAACCATCTGAGCCACCCAGGCGCCCCAGGTAACTATTTTGGATTGCAAAGGAGGATAAATTTAATGTTCAAACAACTGATGAAATAACCATTTGGAAACAAAAAAAATCATGTCATTTAGAACTGGAAGTAATAAATTCAAGTTAATAAATGAAAGCAGTGCTCAGATAAACCTACTTAAAAAAAAGGTTTTTGTTAATGTTATCTTATAGTAGAAAAGGGATCTTTTTTAAAAAAAGATTTTATTTATTTATTTGTCAGAGAGAGAAAGAGAGAGAGAGCACAGCAGGGGGAGTGGCAGGCAGAGGGAGAAGCAGGCTCCTTGCTGAGCGAGGAGCCCGATGTGGGACGGTGGGATCATGACCTGAGCAGAAGGCAGAGGCATCCCTCGAAAGGGGATCTTTTACTCCAGTCCTTATTAAAAAATTTGTGAGAGCATCTTCCTCATTACTTATCTCCTTACTTCACTGCAGAAAAAGCAGTCTTCTAACATTTCCCTATTTCTTCTAAAAGATTATGCTTACTGGCTGCTATTTTGCTATATTTACAGTTTGTACTAATTTCTGCTATGCTTTATCAGAATCAGGAGGAATGCTGTTTGGCTACCAACTGTTCTCTGATTAAAACAGAAAGTGGACTGACATTTTGTTTATTATAGCAATGGCCTTTCTACACCCAAGGCTACAACTCCTTCAGTGCTGATCCCAAGATATCTTTTTCAGACTTTCTCATACTCACAAAATAATTCTTTTTTTTTTTTTAAAGATTTTATTTATTTATTTGACAGAGAGAGACACAGCGAGAGAGGGAACACAAGCAGGGGGAGTGGGAGAGGGAGAAGCAGGCTTCCCTTGGAGCAGGGATCCAGACGCGGGGCTCGATCCCAGGACCCTGGGGTCATGATCTGAGCAGAAGGCAGACGCTTAACGACTGAGCCACCCAGGTGCCCCAAAATAATTCTTTTTTAAATGAATTTTTTTTCTGAATGAAAATTTCCTCTTCTGCAACTTCAATTTTATTTTACTGTTTCAATATTTTTATTTCTCTTAACATTCTCCCAACCTACATATAAGCTTTTTACTTTTTGAATATTACAAAAAATTTTAGTGGAAAGTATTTGTCCCATTTAGACTCCAATTTGTTGCCCCAGAACTAAGTATAGGTAATGGTTTTTTGTGCATCCTTCCAAAAATTTTCTTTTTTCTTATCTTTATTATGACATATATCATACTATAGCAATGTATAAAATATATATGTGATTTTTATTTTATTTTTAAACAAATTTTTATTTATTTTTAAAATCCATTGTAATTAACATACAGTGTTATTTCAGGTGTACAATATAGTGATTCAACAATTCTATACATTACTCAGTGATCATCACAGGAAGTGTACTCTTCATTCCCTTCACCTATTTCACTCATTCCCCCACCCCCCACCCCAACCTCCCTTCTGGCAACCATCAGTTTGTTCTGTATATTTTAAGAGTCTGGTTTTTTGTTTGTTTGTTTGTTTGTTTGTCTTTTCCCTTTGTTCATTTGTTTTGTTTCTTAAATTCCACATGTGAGTGAAATCATGGTATTTGTCTTTGACTGACTTATTTCATTTAGCTAGATCCACCCATGTTGTTGCAAATGGCAAGATTTCATTCTTTTTTATGGTGAGTAATATTCCTTTGTATACCACATCTTTATCCATTCATCTATTGATGGACACTTGAGTTGCTTCCATATTTTGGCTATTGTAAATATTGCTGCAGTAAACATAGAGGTGCATATATCTTTTAGAATTAGTGTAACTTCAATTTTGAATGATAAACCAAACAGAAGTTTCTGGGCATTTTTCCTTATGTACTGCATATATGCTGTGTAATGATTCATATTATGTGCATCAGTGGTGACCACTGTTATTAAGTACAGGGCTAATATTGCCTTTTCATGTTGTATACCATGCATGATTCTAAGTGGTATTTGATCAGGGATTTTTGCCAATAGCTTGTTATACTTTCTCCAAGCAAAACATTTGTGATTAACTTTGTAGCTAATCACCAAAACAAAAGAACTTCTGCCATTTTTTAACCAGGGATGTAACTTGATCTTTTTTTATCCACAAATTCATTCATTTCACACTGGAAAACATTATTTTACATACATTCTGGAAAAATGCATTTTACAAGTCAATGAGGTTATTATATTTGGTTCAAAAATGACTTGTAAGCTTTGATGGCTTTTCGAGTCACTGTTTGGCAAAAGTTCCTAACAGCCAGGGTGTAGTGGGCAATGGACAAATAGATTGTTGGTCCAATAAAATCCAACTTTTAGATATCCAGAGTTGTA